TATATATATTTCTCCCCTAGGGTTATGGTGGCTATATTGCATCAATGATCTTAAAATCAGATGAAAAGCTCTTTAAATGTGGATCAGTGGTTGCACCTATCACAGACTTGAAATTGTATGGTGAGTACTTTCTACAGACTGACCTAATATAATGTATTGATTTGTAGAAAACAAAAGCCTAATTTAGAATAGTTCAATTGAGCTCATTTATCATATGTTATTAGAGCCTGTTTTGAGCTGTTTATCTCCTCCTTGATTCGGTTGATTTTACTAAAGCATGACAATTAAATGTAAAATGAAGAAATTAATGAAATATGCTAGTCAAATAGTTTTTAGTTTGTTCTTGAATGTCTGTTTTCTTGGGTCACAGCCTCAGCTTTCTCTGAAAGATACCTTGGGATGCCATCTAAGGAAGAAAGCACTTACCAGGTAACTAATTTGGAAATAATAAAGAAAGAGGAGTATTTTTGTTCTAGAAATTCAGTTCAATTGCTTATTTAGATCTATAGGTACAGATATTTGTATTTTCCTTTGTAGGCAGCCAGTGTGCTACATAATATTCATGGCTTGAAAGAAGAAAATATATTAATAATTCATGGCACCGCTGACAGTAAGTATTATACTTGCTGCTGTTGTTTGATAGGGTATGACCTTTTACAAAGGGATACATCTAAGGACTTGCTTAGAGGAAGCCCTGTAAACCTTCTGAAGAAGGGAGCAGAGAGTCACACAAAGAATCAGATACATGATAGGAGGTAGGAAAAAAGAATTCAGAGATAAGAGGAGAAGAGGCTACGCCTCAAATATCAGCATTGTCCAATCAAATTCCCTGTAATGATGGAAATACTTTATCAACGCTGCTCAAAGAGTAGTCACCGGCCACTTGTGGCCATACTGTGTTTAGTGTGACTGAGGAACTGAGTTGATTTTATTTAATTTTAATTTAAAAATGCACTTGTGTCTAGCGACTATGGTTACAGTGTTATTCAGCACATCTACAATGGAAACCAACCTGGAAAACAGAAACCAAAAACGTGCACACACTGAGATGAAATTCTAATGAGGTTACCCGCTTCAATGAACTTAAAACAAAAACTTTAAAAAGGCACTTTTATACCATCTCTCATTTTTTCATCACTTTAAACCTTGGAAGTGGATGTGATTGATGTTAGTAGTAATAAATAATATTACTTTATATTTACATGACACTCTTAGGGACCAAAGAATCTATATTTTATTATCCTCTGTGATATTTTACAACAGACGGCTGAATATTTATAGCTCCATTCATGGATGAGAAAAATCAATTTCCAAAAGGAAACAGATTTATCCAAGGCCATCTGGCAAGTGAGCCAAGAAAGTGAAAGTCTTGAATCAATATTTCCTAAATCTTGAACTTAACTCCTTCGTCTTTAGAGTGGGTTCCACTGAATGATTAGCTTCAAGGATACTA